CCCCAAAACCCCAAAACCCCAAAACCCCAAAACCCCATTTACCTTAAATATAAATGATTCAGATAAAAATAATTCATACTTTTCTATAAATGACTTCGCTAAAAGACTTCACCATGCATGAGGAACTAGGAGCAGGGGCATACTCTAAAGTCAATAGAGTTACCAGGACCGACGATAAGCAGGAATATGCACTTAAAAGAGTTTTCCTCAGTAAACTCACAGATAAGGAGAAGGAGAACGCACTTAATGAGGTCAGAATTCTGGCTTCAATAAGTTCTGAAAACGTTGTATCGTATAAAGAAGCCTTCTGGGCTACCTCACCTTCCTCACTCTGCATTATCATGGAGCTTGCCAATGGTGGCGATCTCTATGATATGATCAAGAAGCATAAATAAGGCCAAGACCTTCTTCTCTGAAGAGAAAATTTGGGACATATTTATCCAAATTGTCAAAGGGCTTAAAATTTTGCATGCTCACAAGGTTCTCCACAGAGACTTGAAGTGAGCAAATGTCTTCTTAAACAAAGATGGGACAGTCAAACTTGGTGACTTGAACGTCTCGAAAGTTGCCAAAGCTGGTCTTGTATATACCCAGACAGGGACACCTTATTATGCTTCTCCAGAAGTATGGAAAGACAAACCATATAATTCGAAAAGTGATATTTGGAGTCTTGGTGTTGTGTTATACGAAATGTGCACTCTTAATCCTCCTTTTACCGACACAAGTATGCAAGGTTTATGAAAGAAAGTAATGAAGGGAATATATCCCTCACTTCCATCTCGGTACTCAAAAGACCTCTCTACCATGATAGCGACCCTTCTGAATGTTTCGGCTACTAAAAGGCCGAGTTGCAGCCAGATCTTACATATGCCTGCTTGTGAAGAGCATTTATTGGAAGAAGAAAATTATGAGATTAGTCAAGAATTACTAAACACAATCAAACTTCCTCGCAATCTCAAACACTTGAACACGAGATTGCCAAAGTCTCAATACGAGGATGAAGAGGCCTATAAATGAGAGGCCTCTTACTCACATCAGGAATTACCTCAGAAGAAGAGTTATCCGATCTTGCCTCCTACCAAGAGTCAGGACTCACTTCCTCAAGAGACCAAACGAGAGGTCGATAAGTATGAGGCTATTGCTGAAATAGAGCGGCGTTATGGCGATAAGGAGTCTCGGGCTGGCAAGAAGGAGAGGCAGATCCCAAGGAGCACTCCAAGCTCAGGGAACAGCATCCCCAATATCTATAATAAGTATGCAGAAGAAGCAAGAGATATCGCAGAATCTGCCAAGAAGAAGAATTATCTCAAGCTCAAGGAGAAATACAACCAGAGAGCCAAGGAAATTGAACAAATTGAGAAGGAAAAGAGGATGCTTAGGAACAGAGTTGCTAATGGTGTTGCACATAATGCCAGTTATGATTACCCCAGAGAGATTGTCAAGCGTCAGAATTATCACCAGATGAGAAATGATAGAAGATATGATCTTATAAATCATATGAATTCAAGGAGTGAGGACTACCGTGATTCTGCCATAAAGACTACAGGAAAAGCACCTAGTATCAAAAAGCGTAATTTTAAGCTACCTTCTACCTCAAAAGAGCTCGACAACCTTCCTGTGAACGATAATGAGAGAAGAAAGGCCAGGATTCTTAGGCATGCTGAAGAGATCAGACAGGCTGTAAGTCTTAATAGGGAAAAAGCCTCAGGAAGTTCTTCTGGAATTTACAAATCATCAGGAGTCTACTCGCCTTCTGTACCTAAATGGTGGGGTTAGGAAGCCTCCATAAATTATCACTCTAGTTTATATTTCAATTGCATAAAAATAAAAGGGGTTTTGGGGTTTTGGGGTTTTGGGGTTTTGGGG